TTCTTTCACTCCAAGAAACTTGTCAGCAGGCTACTGCTAAAAACACCAGTTAATATTTATTTCATTAATATCCTGTTCAAACCGTGTGCTTTACAACTGGAATATATAGTCTACCCCCCCCCCCCCCACCACACACACACATTTTTCCCACCGCCCTTTCTCCATTTTCATACAATGGATTTTTTTATCTTTCTAGTTGACAGTTTTATTGTGTCATAATAATATATCAGATAATTGGGGCATTACCATTGTTAGGGGTTATCCTGGAGTCTCTCTCTCTCTCTCTCTCTCTCTCTCTCTCTCTCTCTCTCTCTCTCTCTCTCTCTCTCTCTCTCTCTCTCTCTCTCTCTCTCTCTCTCTCTCGCTCTCTCTCTCTCTCTCTCTCTCTCTCTCTCTCTCTCTCTCTCTCTCTCTCTCTCTCTCTCTCTCTCTCCTGTTCTTTAATCACTAGTGTTGTAAGTGTTCCGAAGTAGGGAAAACGGTGCATTTTATCATAAAATTAAAATACATAGTAGAAATCGTGACTAGAAAAGCTAGATTTCTCAGTTTGCATTTATTAATGTTAATAAACAAGAAAATCGGAAGTATTTCATTATGTGATGGCAGACATTGACTGGAAAGAGGCAATAAGTGCATCCCCTGATACGTACCCTACCCTGTCCGAACTTCAAGTTTCATTGTAACCTTGAAACCGTCAAAAATCCCAGTAAAACCTCACGGTTGTTGAACGGGGTGTCTGGGATTTGTGTTTGTGGGATTCTCAAGCGACCCTTTGTACACGCTGCACTTTGCCAGCGGCGTAGCTAGGGTATTTGACACCTATGGCAACCTGGAGTATTTGACACCTAGGGCAACCTGGAGTATTTGACACCTATGGCAACCTGGAGTATTTGACACCTATGGCAACCTGGAGTATTTGGCACCTATGGCAACCCGGAGTATTTGACACCTATGGCAACCTGGAGTATTTGGCGCCTATGGCAACCTGGAGTATTTGACACCTATGGCAACCCGGAGTATTTGACACCTATGGCAACCTGGAGTATTTAGCACCTATGGCAACCCGGAGTATTTGACACCTATGGCAACCTGGAGTATTTGGCGCCTATGGCAACCTGAAGTATTTGACACCTATGGCAACCCGGAGTATTTGACACCTATGGCAACCTGGAGTATTTGACACCTATTTCAACCTGGAGTATTTGGCGCCTATGGCAACCTGGAGTATTTGGCACCTATGGCAACCTGGAGTATTTGACACCTATGGCAACCTGGAGTATTTGGCGCCTATGGCAACCTGGAGTATTTGGCGCCTATGGCAACCTGGAGTATTTGACACCTATGGCAACCTGGAGTATTTGACACCTATGGCAACCTGGAGTATTTGGCGCCTATGGCAACCTGGAGTATTTGGCGCCTATGGCAACCTGGAGTATTTGGCGCCTATGGCAACCTGGAGTATTTGACACCTATGGCAACCTGGAGTATTTGGCGCCTATGGCAACCTGGAGTATTTGGCGCCTATGGCAACCTGGAGTATTTGACACCTATGGCAACCTGGAGTATTTGACACCTATGGCAACCTGGAGTATTTGACACCTATTTCAACCTGGAGTATTTCACACCTATGGCAACCTGGAGTATTTGACACCTATGGCAACCTGGAGTATTTGGCGCCTATGGCAACCTGGAGTATTTGACACCTATGGCAACCTGGAGTATTTGACACCTATGGCAACCTGGAGTATTTGACACCTATGGCAACCTGGAGTATTTGACACCTATGGCAACCTGGAGTATTTGACACCTATGGCAACCTGGAGTATTTGGCGCCTATGGCAACCTGGAGTATTTGGCGCCTATGGCAACCTGGAGTATTTGGCGCCTATGGCAACCTGGAGTATTTGGCGCCTATGGCAACCTGGAGTATTTGGCGCCTATGACAATCTGGGGTATTTGACGCTCATGGCAACCTGGAGTATTTGGCGCCTATGGCAACCTAGAGTATTTGACACCTATGGCAACCTGGAGTATTTGACACCTATGGCAATCTGGGGTATTTGACGCTCATGGCAACCTGGGGTCAAAGACGCCCATGGCAACCTGGAGGTATTTAACGACCATGGCAACCTGGGGTATTTGACGCCCATGGCAACCTGGGGTATAAGACGCCCATGGCAACCTGGAGGTATTTGACGCCCATGGCAACCTGGGGTATAGGACGCCGATGGCAACCTGGGGTATTTGACGCCCAAAGCAACCTGGGATATTTGAGTATTTGACGCCCATGGCAACCTGGAGGTATTTGACGCCCATGGCAACCTGGGGTATTTGACGCCCAAAGCAACCTGGGATATTTGAGTGTTTGGCGCCCATCAGGAAAAGAGAGAGAGAGAGAGAGAGAGAGAGAGAGAGAGAGAGAGAGAGAGAGAGAGAGAGGGGGGGGGGGTGAGTCAGAATTTCTTTTTTAAAACCGTGCATTAGCCCTGGGCTTGATCAGGAGTGTAGGCAGACATGATATTATATGATATTATAGTGACTGTAAGAATGATTCTCAGTAAATTCTAGCGAACAGAAGATTGCGTCAGGTGAAGGAATTCATTATGCCCTACCTGCCATACCTAGTTACGCCACTGCACTTTGTGTCACTGGGTGCTAATCTCTCAATGTTCGGTCCGAGTGGGGTACAGCTTCACTCATTCATACATCCCATGAAACTGAAAGAGTTAATGTCAAAAATTGTTTCTCCTGATATATATATCTAATGTGGACATGTGTGATCTTCCCTTTTTGTATCGTTTTTATATTTATAATTTTGCACTAATTTTGAGTGTTTCTTCAAATTAACATCTCTTCTCTTTTATTGAAAACAAACTGTCATACGTGCTAAATTACTTTTAGATGCACCAGTATTTCTAAACATATTACTGTAATTTGTTTTCCAGTGATGTGCCACAAACTGTTAACTACTTCACTGATATTGTCAGTCTTCTTCTGCTTCCATAATACAGTCTCTATTGTTGTTAATTATGGAGATGTGTGACATGTAATATAAATGTGTTATTTGTTTGTTTATTCCAATGAATCAATATCACAGCTGGTGTAAGCCAGGTAGTGAAGAATACCGGTGGATTGCCAATGCAGACACAATGTAATGAAAGGGCTAGAACTTTGTAACAAAATACCTGGACTCCTATGGAACATCGATTTCATTTTCCCATGTCACGTATATGTTATGTTATCACAATCAGCGTCATTGCACACTTTGTGCTCAGTCCTCTGAGGCAGCAGCCACCCTGAAAAACCTCTGTTGATTGTTTCCATGAGGAGTTGGTTATAAGGTCTCCTAGCTCAGCCTCAAAGACAGAACAGATGGTTTACTTCAAAGTCATCCAGTCGTGTTAGTTGGGGCGAGGTGGCCATTCTGACTGTTTGCACACTCTTCTAAATATGTACAGTAAATAAGCAAAATGTGATTAACCCTTGCTGTAGAAATATGGTGTGATTTTAATGTTTTTTGTGTGATTATATAATGAATCAACAACATGTCACAAGGCTAGTAACCCATAAGTGCTCTGTTATACTTCTAACTCAAGCTTGAGTCTGAAGAATCTCAGGTCAGTGCACGAACAACATAGCACCCACGAGGATCCTGAAATACTTTGTGTGTGTTTACCTCCTGAATTATAGTTATTTTACAGTAATTTACTCATACTGTTTAGCAGTAAAAATGTGGAGATCAATAGTATCAATGGTTGTTGCTAGTATGCTGGTGTGGTCATTTGATTGAGTTTCCCTCCATCTGGGTATAATATCAAATCTGGCTGTAACACATTTGATATCAGGCATCCCTGTGCAGAATGCAATTTTTTGTTATTTGAAGCCCCACCCCGGCTTCTGCCAGGAGCCCCGAATATAGTAGGGGCATAGATACGGCCTAGCCATAGATATAGCCTAATGTTTGAAGGGGGTTTCTTGGACCTCTTCATTGGGTGATCTTCATCTGCATGGTTGCACTTTGTGTCACTGGTTGTTTATCACTTGTGTGATGTCCTGGTGGCATAAAAAAGTCAGTCAGTCAGTCCAGTTAGTGATGATTTAAAAACTTTTTCAGGCTTCCAAGTCAACCCAACATAAACTGGACACCAGGAAATGTTCAGAATTCATGGCAGCCACCACGATTATCACATTAAACTGAGTGTTTTTTGTGGTCTATTAAAGTAAACGGGGCTAGCCAGTGGCGTAGCAAGGTCCGGTGGTATCTGGTGCAGAGCATTCTCCCTTCTCCCACTTTCCCACGTATACTTATTCATTCTTTTATTTTAAAAAGATATTTTTGCTATTTTGTCACTCCCTCAGTTATGAAACCTGGAGCGACCTGCACCATCTTCCTTCACCACTAGGTCTAGTTGGCCCAATTAGTGAACAATTATGTAGAAATGGCAGAGATGTGGTTTTACAGACAGTTGATGAGAACAGATAAAAAGAGTAATAAAGGCATCTTGAAAGAAACTGATTCCTGAAGATTGTCTTCATTAGAAGGAGACTGTATTCTTTGATCATGTCATGAGAAGGAGAAAACTGGAGTAAATCGTGATGGTAGCAAAGTTGGAGGGGAAAAGAAGCAGAGGAAGACATGGAAAGAAGATGCTGGCAAGTTTGACATCATAGCATTGAAGATCATCAGCATCAAAACTGACTGAAAGTACACGAGACAGAAGGCTGTGGATAGACATAGCTACCAATGGCACACGACATGCACTATAAGAAAAAGCACCTTTTACCCAGTAGGTCTCCAATGGCACACTGCATGGACTATAAAAAGAAGCACCTTATACCCAGCATGCCTTAAAGCACTGGTCAGGATCCTTCAAAATTTTTTTTTAAACTAGAAAAGAATATTTATTTCGGACTGTATTAGGCTGTTTTTCTGTTACTTTGTTGTTTGATAACACCTGTTTTTTTTACCCGGGTAAATTGTACATAAATGTGATCCCTAT